TTTTTCCCTATATGAAGTCATTTTTTTTTGAACAAAACTCAAAACACAGCCTATTAATCTTTCAGTCATTTCTACCCCCCCTCCCCAAAAAAAAAAATCCCACATACATAGGGCTAAGCCCCGGGTGTTTCAAATGTCTGGCTCCGCCTCTGGTGAACACATTCTCCCACGGTCACCCTGAAGCCTAACCTTGGTCTTTGGGGACCCCTGATGTCTGGGCCCGGACGGTGACGTCACTGGCTCGCGTTCACGGTTCGCTCTTTTCTGCTGGGACGCGTCCCAAACCGTTCAGCTGCCGCCTCGAGCTCCGGGAGCGGGCACGGCGGGGTCCGGGACGCGCCGGTGTTCGAACCACACCGACACCAGGCCCCGGGCCGCTGGCACAGGGAGCCGCTGGGGTCCCGCAGGGCAGGGAGTGTCCCGGGGGAGGAAGGCGGTGCTCTGAGTGGGACGCGGCCGGCGGGGCTCCGTCAGCTTACGCGGAGCTCCGTCGCGGCGCAGACATCTTGGCACCGAACGGTGGAGACGGAGGGTCCGGTCCTAACGCCCCGATGGATCGACGGTGAGGCTCGCGGTCCAGGAGGAATCCTCGCCGGGAGCCAGCGGCCTGTCCGCGGGGCCGGGGAACACCGGCAGCGGTCCGCGCTCTGCCCGTGAGTCCGTCCGTCCGCACTGCAGCAGCGGTGGCTGACCGCTGCGGCAGCGCTAGCAGCAGCTGCTAACGGCTAGCTCCGAAGCAGCCGTCAGAAATCCCGGTTTTCGCTCTCGGCGCTGACCGCTCCCGTCTTTCCCGCCTGAGCTGCGGTGTACTGTCCAAAGTGAGAGCCGAGGAGCCGCCCTTCAATTCGGCTCACCCATAAGGAAGCTTCGTGTAAGACAAACGAACCTTTTTAGCGTTTTTATGTGTCGCTGTCGTCGATAAATACCATTCTCGTGAGCGGCGCCGAAACCTACGTGACTGGGTAGAAACATCAGTCCTCCTGTCCAGGTACAAATAACTGGGGGGACACACGAGGCTGCCGAAAACAGCGGCACAGCCTGCCGTTACCGGCCGCTAAACGATCTGAAGGGTTTCCTTCGCTATCCCGGGAAATTTAACACCAACATTAAAACGGAGATTTCTTCAATGGAGTTCGGAGTGCGCCCCTTTTTAAGGTTTATCAGCGGGTAACTGCAGGCTGTCAGCGTACATTTTAACCTTCAGTGTGGAGATGTTCTTGTTGTGTGCACATATGTGAATATCAAAACGCCTTTTCGTGTCTACGATTAAAATAAATATGTCATATGAAACAATAAAAGGGGAGAACATGTCCGCCAGCATTTAAACGCTTCATCTTTATAATCTGAAGCATCCGCACGGAGTGGTGTAGCTTGACGTTTACAGGGAAACCACAAATGCATCTTCATATTTATACAAACGAGCTTTCTTTAGAAAAGATGATGTATATTTATAAGAAGGTGAACTGACAGCTGGTCTCTGCGTGTGAAATTAAAATAATGATGGACTCTGCTTTATTTACGACGCTCTGTTCAGGTGCTGCTCTGACAGTCAGATTTCAGAGTGTTCAGCTGCCTGCCTGTCATCAGGATTACTGCGGATTCATTTCCATCTGAGCGATGTTTCTGTGCATGGATGCCGAGGTCCACATTTCATGTTGCAGTTTAACATTATGTCATCAGCTGGCCAGGGATGGGAACTGATAGGAATTTAGCGATTCCAGTATTGATTCTCTTATGGATTGTTTTTCACCAGCATCACTAAGACATTACAGTCATGTAAATGAATCACACGCTGTGGGTCGCATGTTTGAGCGTGCTGAGGTTTCCTTCTTTGTTGTACTCGGTAACATATTACACAGAACACTTCGTTCTACTATTCGTTACTTTCATGTTCCTCTGTAAAATGATCTGAAGCGCTTATAATCACCATCTAACGATATAACCATGAGGCTACAGCCCCACATAGCAGCACGCACCTCTCTCAGGTCTTTTTCTTAGTACAGGGGTGGGCAACTCCAGGCCTCGAGTGCCGGTGTCCTGCAGGTTTTAGATATCACACCTGAATCAAATGATTAGTTAATTACCCGGCCCCTGGAGAACTACAAGACAGGTTGAGGAGGTCATTTAGCCATTTGAATCAGCTGTGTTGGATCGTGGACACCGGCCCTCGAGGCCTGGAGTTGCTCACCCCTGTCTTGGTACAACGCAAAAATGAAAACCAGCACAAAAAGCGGTCGCCACGGTGATTCTGAACAGGTAGAGGAGGCTGCAGCCTGACGGCTCATCTGTTTGTTACCTGGTGCACTCTGGGTTCTTGGCTAGCTTAGCATTAACATGCTGTCTGTGCAGTTGCTTGTAAAGAGTGAAGTTGTGTTAGCAGCAGACTGCAGTTTGTATCTCGCCCTTTTGTGCAATAAAATAAAAGTGACGTGCATATCCACGCTGGAGACTGCACCGCCGTTTTCCTCCTCCGACACGCCAACTAAAATCAGCTGATCATAGCACGAGTGCAAGAACCGATAAGCGGGATCGATAGCTCAACGACCAGGAGGAATGGAGTTTTCCGAGTCGGGAACAGCGCCCTCTGCTATGTGAAGGTGTTTCCCAGGCGCTGCCTGTAATAACTTGCGCCCTCTTCTTGTCTGTGCAGCTGCAACTCTCCGTTATGATTGGCTCTGACTGACGGTGTCACCTCCTCATCCACGATTGCGGGGGAGGTGTTGATCTCCAGAGCTTGTCACCATGACAGCATGCTCAGAATCTTTTACTCAGGGCAACCTAGCATGATTCAGGGCTCGAAGTCATACTCCGAAGTTACTGTAGCCCCTCCCCTTTTAGACAGCTGGCTTCTGATTGGCTGACCCTCACAGGCATCTGTATGGTGCTTATGATGTCATATAGATCCCGGAGTAGAAAAGTCTTAAACGGCCCTCACTGCTCATCCTTCAGCAGTAACCATGGAAACGTGTTTCCATGGTAAAGATGTTGGAGTGTTTCCACACCCTTACAGGATGTAACGCAGCGAGCCCGCTGAGGTCATCCATACAGATTCATTAATGTTGATTGATTACTGATCGATCCGGCCCAGAACTGAAACCAGGAACACCTGGTCATGTGACAGCTCGTCAGTAGCTGTAAATGCAGAATGAACCTAATCTGTGACGGTCAGCCGGGGTCAAAGGTGAGACGCTGCAACAAACGCTGCTTCCTGTGATTGCCCTCTGCAGCGCTGTCACTGAAGCATTCCGAGGTTCAGCTTTCCATTTAATCTCGAATCCAGCCATCTGTCTGATGACGGTGAGTGGAGGAAGCTCGTTGTACCGTCGGCCGTTTCCCGTGGTTACCGCAGCCTCGCTTCACTCTCTTTTTGGATGCTGAGTCTGCGTCAGGAGGCGGGGCTGCTTCGATGTGAAGCTGATCGTTTAGATTTAAACTCTGATCTCACGGTTGCACCACGACTCTCCTGGACCAATCAGAGGCAGTGTGGAGTCACACGGTGTGCTGTGCTGTTCGACGGTGATGGTGATGGAGCCCTGAGGCAGGTGCTCTCCCACCGCCGTTGCAGAGCTGCGTGCTGAACGTGACGCTCTGCAGCTTCCTTTGGTCCTGCAGACATGCAGAGGGAGCCTGTTGCTAGGCAACAGCAGCAGGGCTGCGGCGCTGATGGAAAGCTCAGTGAGTGACGCCAGGCTCACAGGTGAGCTCGCTGGTCCAACCTCCAGCCGATGCACAGCGTCTGCTCCGACAGGCCCATCAGGACCTCGGGTATAATGGAGACGTCTGAGCGCAGCGTTCGAACAGCTGGAGCGGCAGCGGCGTGGACGTTAGTGGATCAAACACGTAGCGCACTCTGACCCGGTCACGTCTGTGGAGACGTGACCTGTGGAGACACTGAGTTTTTGGCACGCTGCTCTGACCTTTTATTACTGAGTGTTTCTGACATCGAGCGAGTGGTCGCGAGCTCTGACCACATTCCTGCATTGCTGCACGGATGCCGTCAGGAATCATGGCAGAGCGGGGCTGGAGGACATTTCCTCTTTAAGGGAGGGCGTGACCTAAAACTGCGGCGCTGACCGACGTGTTTGGAGGTGTGGCTGCGGGGGAGGGTAAAGTGTGATTTCAGGTATTACCTCAGCAGTGTTTCTGTGACCCAAGCTGTGTCCCAAAGCGTAGGCTGCATCCTCCTGAGGACCCGGCCTTTGCAGTCTACGTGGGCCGGGTCCTTTGAAGACCGAGAAGGCCGGAAGTGCGAGGTTGTGAAATTGGACGGTCCAGCCTTCAGATTTGCGTCATCGCTGTCTGGGTGGGGTTTAATGAACTCGGCCGTCTGCTCCGTGCTATCTAAATATAGTAGGACACTGGAGTAAACTCTCGACCGTCTCACACTTCTGTTTAATCACTTTTCTGTTTGACGTTTATTCAGCTGTGTGAAAATCCCGGAGGAACCCACCCGATGGATTAATAAAGTTTTATTTAATCTAATCTAATAACTTTGATCTCAGCCAAACCGATTTACTTTTACGATTTAAGTTATCCGAGTGACTTAAATATCATGTTTAACTGGGAGCGCTGCTCTCGCCGGCTCGAGTGACCATTGAACCCCAGCTAGTAGGGGTGGAACGATATTCGTATCGATATTGAACCGTTCGATACAGTGCTTTCGGTTCGGTACGCATATGTATCGAACAATACAACATTTGTAATTTATTTTATCAACTTTCCTTCTGACGATGCTGTCTGTGTTGAGCGCTCAGTGAATCTGTGTTCGACTACTCCGCCTAGGCTGCACTGTCGAGCGCAGATCCACTGAGCGCAGCACAAGCACAGAAGCGAAGCTCGTTGCAACATGGCAAATTGAACCTCCCCCACCCTCATTCAGATCTGGCGTTTGGAATTATTTTGGTTTTCATGTGATGTATGACCCTGAGGGTAAGCGCGTCATGGACTAAAGTAAAACAGTATGTTGGGTGTGCCACGCAATGCTCAATTACATGGGTGGGAGCTAGTGTGTTAGCACAGTTAGCTCGGTAACGTGTTGGCGTCCAGCCCCACGCACGGGGCGATCGGCGGTAGCTCGTTAACGGAGATTTGCCGTGTTGTGGCGTTAACGTCATTTCAGATTAACGCTGACAGCACTAGTGGGAACACAACGAATATGACTGCACATTTACTCCGACATCATCCTAGTGCAAAGACAAGTGGAAGCAGACAAAAACAACAAGCATGCTACAAACTTTACCCGAGACAGCTGTTAGCACAGGATTCTCCTTATGGGGACCTGATATGTTTAATATGCTGCTGAGAATATAGCCCAGAAGAAGCGGATAGTATAGCTTTTATTTTGAAAGAGCCATTTCTCTGTAATAAACTCTCTTTTCCAAAGATGAGTGATTCCTCCATCAGATAGATTTATTATTTTATTACTTTGTTGTTTCAGCAACATTACATTTAAAAATTGTACTTTTGAGTTAAAATATAAATTTATAATTTTAATAAATGACAAATTAAAAAAGCATGAACATTTTTTGTGTCGAAAAAATATCGAACCGAACCGTGAATTTTGTGTATCGTTGCAGCCCTACCAGTCAGCTATCGAGCTGGTGGGTAACAGACGTCTCTAAAAACGTCGAAGCACTTTTGCAAATATGTGGTGTCTTGATAAACCGAGCAGATATTTGAAGGTTACACAGCTGCATTCGTGCGAAAATATGTAAAAAGTTTATTTTGTGACCCAGAAAGATTAACAAGAGTAATATTAAAACTTAGTAGCAGCCGTCATTGTTGGAAACTGGAATTGGCTGAGCTGCACTATGAATTCTGGGATATGGTGGGCCACAAAGGACACACAGCCTTTATTGCCTGGCTGTGACGTAATCAGCCTTCAAATGCGGCCTCCGAAGGATGCAGCCGACGTTTTGGGACACAGCTCCAGTGTGTGATTTTTTTTTGGTTTTTTTTTTCCTAAACAGGAAGGGGCGTGTCCCATGGCGCCGCTGTGCTGCTGCTGCGGCTCTGTGGTTTTTTTAGGTTTTGATTTTTGTAGCGTTGGACGAGAAAATCAAAACCTAAAGAAAATACAGCGCTGACAGAACTTCCTGCAGGGGGCGCCAAGCACCAGGCTGCTGGACATGAGGAGGTCTGCACACTTCCTGTGACCTTCATCAAGTTTCAGGTGAGAACAGGAAATCGTCACATACACGCTGAATTTCACTCTTCATCATCTGCTGCTGATTAACTCCTCCTCTTCCTCCTCTTCAGGTTTTGTGGCTCGTTCAGGTGTGACAGTCTTGGAGGCGTCGCTGACCTTCGGCGATCACGCCACAGCTGGATGTTTGAGGCTGATGTGTGCACTTCCTGTTTGTGATCGCTGTCAGAGCGTTTCCATCTTCCTCAGTAAAGCAGAGTGAAAATAAACTTTCCGAGTGTCTCAGTCTGTTTACGTGAACCCGCCCATCACGCTGACGATGTCATCATGCTGATTAGACTCCTTTGATTTGACATTGCAGCCTGTTTCAGCCACCAGTGCTGACTGGTGCTGGACCAGTGAAAGCGGCGTGACGCGTGCTTACTCACAGTAGACTGTAAATAAAAGATGGACTCCAGGCTGCTTTGATCCAATCAGAAATGACAGGATGGAGTCATCAGCTGACGCTTGGTACCACAGATGCCTGCGCATTAGTAACATCCAATCAAAATCCTTGAATTTCACTAAAACTGGAGCTCCGCCTTTGTGGACGCTCTGTACAGTAACCTCACAGCAGCCATATTGTTGGTCACATGATGTCATTAAAAACAGCACAAACACGTCCAGTCCTGATATCACAGCAAAGCGTGTAACAGACACGCAGTCCACAGTGTCCATTTCATGCTGTGACCCTCCAAATGTGCAGTAAGCTGCAGAGCCAGCAGAGGGAGACATTTCAAGCCAACATGGAAATTATGACGTGAAACATTCAAACAGACATTAACACTTTTACATGTAAACACAGGTTAGCGTGTACACGCTTTGCTGTAATACTGGCTTGGTCCAGAGGTCCACACTGCAGATACCATCTACCTGTCAGTCAAAGAGGCCACACCCCTAAAAATGCAAAGAGGTGAGTTATATAAACATTTCCCCTGCCTTCATAACACCTGTGGGGCGTGTTATGACTGTCTGTGTTTCAGGCTGTAAACATGTTTGTTTGTGCTGCGAACCTTTAACATGGAAGTCTATGGAGACGGACTCACTGCTGCCCCTGCTGGACATCTCAGGTTCAGTCTAACAGCAGCTCACACTGAGGCTGTGACACTAAAGACAACACAAACCTGAAGCTGCTCTACTTCCCAACACACACACACACACAGAGTTTTTGCAGAGGTGATAATCTTCAGTCATAAAACTGGAGCTTCAGTTAAACTGAGCAACCTGGTTTCTCATCTCTGCTGATGGTCGAGGCGTCTAGTTTGACCTGCAGGACATTTTTTGGTCGCTCCCGGTCACCATGGCAACCAGCAGCCTGTAAAAACAGAATTGTTTCTTTTCATCGACCCGAAAAAATACAAGAAAAGAACAAGATGGAGGGGCTGTTTGTGAGGTGTGGGAACCTGCTGACGAGTGTGTGTGGGTGTTTCTGACTGTGTGTGTGTGTGGATGGACAGATGAATGGACAGAAGTGTAATTAAATCGTCATCCTTCAGCTCCGGCTGAAAGTCTGTCTTCTCCTCCGTCTCTCTGAGTGACGTGCCGTCAGGTTCCCAATGCGCCGGGCCTCCGAGCCAGCTGGACTCGAGCCAGGAAGCCGTGGGCCCCGGGCAGTGGGCCAGAAACACTGAGACATGATGGGATACCCAGCAGGTGTTACCTGAGAGGCTGTAAGCTGTGAGGGTGTTTCCTCAGGTTTGTTTAAAAAGTATGAAAACAACAGTTCAGTTTCTGCTATGTGGGGTGGAGATCTCCATTCATAGTTATTATACTCAAAGTGATGTAATAAAACCTGTTTAATGTGAGACGATGAGCCCTCGTGTGCACCTGAACAGGAAGCCCACCTGTTGGCACCTGGCTCATTTTCTGTACTCATTGGGCATTTGGTTGAACTTCCTTCAGGAAGCCTGCAGTCACTCCAGCAGAGCTGCAGGAGCAGAATTCTTCATTTAGCATCGATGCATCTGAAGTCACGCTAAATAAAACCCAGAAAAAATAATTCAAAGTGCTTTTAAAGGAGAACTAAGATGGATAACACTTACACGCCCTCCAGCATTGCAGGTGCTCCTCCAGCTCAGAGCACAAGGCAGTGAAGGTGGTGCAAGGAAAGGAAGCAGAAGTGAGGTTGCAGAGCGGGAATTACAGAGACAAACTCATAAACCAGCGCTTCCCGGTCTTTTCATCAGCAATGCCAGATCCCTCTTCAACAAAATGGACGAACTAAGGCTCCAGGTTGTGACAGATTGCACCATTAGGGATAGCTGTGTACTTATGATCACAGAATCCTGACTTCATCCATTCATCCCGAATTCAGCCATCAAGCTAACGGACTTAACAACATTGTTAATTTGGGTTGAACCCAGGACTGTATAGGCGTTGGCTGAATAGCAGTGGTGTTCACCTTGGGGTGTCGGTCAGAACACACAGGACGCACAGATAAAGGTTATACCGTCTTTACTGTGATTCCTCAGCTTAACAGCACAGTACAGCAACACAGTCATGCAACCGCAGGCTTACAGAGTGGTGAGGGGTGTGTGGTCTGTGAACAGAACACATACAGAATACTGAATGTAATAAACATCTAAGTCATGAATTATGATGCATTAGCGTTCTTCGAATCTAACCAGAACTACAAATGGGAATTCCTATATGAACATCTACATGCACGAGTTTTATACACTACTCCCAAACCCTTACAGTACATGACATCCCAATACACCCAACAACAATATATCACAAACACCAAATCGTTTAGCTTACAGCTAGCAGGTATGTAGCATAACAGGTAGCATTAGTAGCATGAACTAGCCACATAGCGAACAGGTCGATACACATTGCACTTCTACATCCACTAAATGTCTAATTGGCATAAAAGACTAAAACTGTCCTTTTCAGGCATGGCTCCACGTCTACTCAGTTCTTTAGCGACGCACACAACTCACACCGTGTGTAGACATCCCCTGCAGAGTCAGTCTGCCAGGCGGCTCTTGCTATGTGCTAGCTCCAACTCTGATCACTGGAACATGTGCTCAATAGTGCAACTGTGCTTTCTCGCCACAAGGGGGCCCCCCCCCCACACCGCTGACAGCCTTTCCAACAAACATGGTGCTAAATCAGGACTGTGGTTAGAGAAGAGTAGGTGGGGTGTGTGTAGATCAACAATAACTGCTGTACAGACACAGTTACTGTGGACAGCCATTGCTTCCCTGACCTGGAGTAAATGAATTGCAGACCCTTTTAGGTACCAAGGGAGTACACTGTTGTTTACCTTCCACCAACTGCTAATGCTAACTATGCTAACCTTCGCTGACAATGACTGGGACTCAATTCTCCCTGAGATCCGGAGGGACACGGACTCTAATTCCACCATACCACCGCTGAAGTGGAGTAGGCGACGGAGGCACAGGAAACAGAAGAGAGCAGGGCTGAGTGCTAGGCTACGTGCTAACCCACACAGACCGGCTATTCCGAGTCTCTTCCTCACCAACTCACAGTCACTAAATAACAAGATGGATGAGCTACGACTGCGGATCACCTTACACTGTTTGGATTATTCTGTTATGATCATTGAGCTAGCAGGCCACACTACATTCAGAGCGGACAGGAACAAAGAGTCCGGAGGAGGTCTTCTAGTGTTTGTGAACAATAACTGGTGCACCAACAACACAGTTAAAGTCGTCCACTGCTGTCCGGACACAGAGTACATGATGGTTCAGTGTAGACCCTTCTACTTGCCGAGAGAGCTCACAGCGATCACAATAATAGCAGTTTATGTGCCACCGCAAGCTAATGCTAAGTCAGCCATGGAGCTACTCCAGCGCTCCATTAATAAACAGCTAACAACGCACCCGGACTGCGCTGTGATCGTGGCTGGAGATTTTAACCATGCAAACCTGAAATCTGTCCCGCCTGGATTTTTTTAAAAACGTGAGCTTTCCAACGAGGGAAAACAACACACTGGACGAAGTCTGCACCAACATCCCAGATGCTTACAAAGCCCTCCCCGCCTCATCTCGGACTCTCTGACCATCTCTCTCTGACCTGATCCCTGCATATAGACCTCTAATTCAAAGGCAAAAACCATCTGAAAAAACAGTACGAGTGTGGACCGTGGAAGCCACCACGGCCCTACGGGACTGTTTTGATAACACGAATTGGAGTGTATTTGCAGAAGACTTGGAGGGCCACACATCTGCCGTACTCTCATACATCAACTTCTGTAGTGAGAGTGTAGCAACAACAAAGACTGTTACAGTGTTCCCGAAACAGAAGCCATGGCTCAACAGTGAGGTGAGAGCCCTACTAAGAGCACGTGACAGCGCCTTCAGATCAGGAGACCAACAAGTCTACAAAGAGGCACGCCACTCTGTGCTTAAAGGCATAAAAGAAGCCGAGCGCAAATACAAACAGCAAGGAACACAAACAACTCCAGAAACATGTGGCAGGGGATCAAGACACTCACTGGCTACAAAGACGGTCGCACACAAACAAACTCCCCAGATATCACCGTACCTGACACCCTAAACCAGTTCTTCGCCCACTTTGACCAACACAACAGGGACACCATCACCCATCCTGTCGTTACAGAGAGGGACGACACCCCCATCCAGCTGGAGCAGCATCAGGTCAGAGCCACACTGGCAGCTGGTCCTGACGGTGTAGCTGGTAGAGTGCTTGAAGCATGTGCAGACCAACTAACAGAGGTTTTCACCACCATCTTCAGCCTCTCACTGCTACAGTCTGTAGTACCATCCTGCCTTAAGTCAGCCACCATCGTTCCAGTGCCCAAGAAGAGCAAAGTGAGCTGCTTGAATGACTATCATCCAGTTGCTTGAACACCCATAATTGCCAAATGTTTTGAGCAGCTCATCATGTCGCACATTAAAGCTGCCATCCCTGCAGACCTCGATCCACACCAGTTTACATACTGGGCAAACAGGTCGACAGAGGACGCCATAATAACAGCTCTTCACACAGCCCTCACCTGGACAGTAGCAACACCTGTGTGAGAATGCTGTTTGTGGACCAGCTCTGCCTTCAACACAGTTCAACCCCACAAACTGGTTAATAAGCAACTCATGACTCAGCAGCTCACTGTGCAGCTGGATACTGGACTTCCTGCGTCCAGCTCCACCATCGAGAGATTTCTGACCTCCTGCTGCACACTCTGGTTGAACTGCTGCACCATGGAGGGCAAGAGGAAACTGCAGCGGGTGGTGAGGGCAGCAGA